ACTCATGGATAACTCAACGAAAAGTAATGTGATGGATAGTGAATATTATTTGGCGGCGTTGTTACGTCCTTCTTGTTGGATTGATTGATTGATTGATTGAATAATTAATTATATAGCGCTTGTATCCAATTCATGTGTGCATACTGACGGCACTCTGATGTTCTTAAATCTATTTAAAGAAAACGTATTTAAATATGTCTTAAATGATTTTTTTTTATCATTTTCAATTTCCCTCAAAGATTGAAAGTAACTGTCCCATACTTTTGGCGCTATAGCTTCAAAAGAGCGCACTCCGTATGACTTCTTTCTGTGTCCATCCACACTGGGAACTCTCATCTCAGTAAGGACTGTGTTGAAGAGCGCAGGTACTTTTAAGGATACGTGTTTAGAAATCAGTTCTTTAAGACCTTCATGCCCTCGCACCGTTGTAGTGTAGCTAGGGTAAGTGGCAACACTTTTTCTTTTCAACCGGTGGGGTGGCTGTGGAATATTTGTAATTGTCACCAATCACAGTCGAGTTGTAGCTGTCACCAACGACATTCGAGCCTGTAAAATATCATCAACCACATTAGAGCATTTAAATTATCACCAACCACATTCGAGTCTTTTAACTATCACCAACCACCGTCTATTCTTTAACTATCACCAACCACATTCCAGTCTCAAGTCCTTGAACTAAAAGCAACGTCAGTCAAGTTTTTAACTTTCAGTGACCACATTTAAGCCATTTAACTGTCACCAATCACAGTCAAGTTTTTATCTTTCACCGACCACATTCAAGTCTTTGATCATCACCAACCACAGTCAAGTATTTAACTATCCCCACACACCCAGAACTGTCGTGCGACTTTTGAAGGCCCCCCTCCTCCCCACGCCAGCCACTTTTTTTGGTTTCGTGCCCCTACATTCCAAGTTGATAGTTTATCTTTTACCCATAACACAACCTCAAGCCCCTTGAAACACAGTCCCAGGCCCCACTCCAGACGCAAGTTTTCCAGGCTTACGCTACGGCTCTGCCAACACCTTGGAGATTCGAAACTCACAGCGCTCAACTAATGACCAGCAGCATCACTTATTTATGTTTTGCTTCCGCTGTGACGGTTTCCTTTTCACAACCGAACCCCCCCCCCCACTCAACATGTTTCATATTGATGGTGCTAAGTGCGTGTGTGTGTGGGGGGGGGGAGATCAAGCAGAAA